GATTACTGCTGGTCTTCCCCAAGATTTGGCCATTATCTCAAATTTTCTCTCTGGGACCCTAAAGATAATTCGTCCTCAGACAGTAGGAAGCAGTTTGGAGAATACTATGCCCAAATTCCAAGAGAGGGGTGGGAAGCTTTTGGTTATTTGGTGGGTTATGGGTGTTTGTTATCATTTAGGGAAATATAGAATATTGTTACAAATTTAGTTATTTTTGTTACATTGTATGTTCTACTCTTGTTTAAAGGGTTTTTTGTATATTGATAAAAATTTTAGGTTATTTTTGTTACAACATATTGTATGTATGTTTCTATTTTTGTTTGAGGTTTTGTGCCTATGCAGTTCATTTGGAAATGTGAAGTTCTAGTTTTTGAAAACTATTATAAACTATACAGGATAATCAGGAAACACAGGTTAGTGGTTAGTCATTTATAACAATCAAATTTGTAGATATGCTTTCGGGATCATATAGATATATTTTAGATAGATAGATGGTCTTCAAACCTTTCAAAGACCTACAGAATATGGCATTTAAAATCTTTTGTTAAACATAGGGTTTTTCATGACAATGAGACACATCTGCTCCTGGCAGCAACAATTTACTTCAGAGAGGATGGGCACTGAAGAACTCCTTATAGAGTTTCCTTTCATTGTGGCAAGGTTAGCCACGGAGCAAAGAAACTGCTCTTGCGTTTGACTGCTGACAATGTGCTGTGCAGACTGGATATGCAACACACACAGGAAAAAGACTGTTGAACTCTGCCAAAACAAGGCAAGGACAGTCCTTCAAAATTCCTGCTTCACAGAAGAGTCTGCTAGATATTCTGCAGAACACACAGGAAAGCGACTAACAAATTTTGCCAATATAGGCAGAACAGTCTTTTAAATTTCCTGCTTCACTAAAAAGTTTACCAGATATTCTGGGCCTATAGGCCGAAGATAGATGCCCTAACATTGCTGAGGAACTTTTGGTGAGTGTCCAGGCAGCAAGATGTCTCTGTTGTTAGAGAATAGTAATTCCTTCTGGGGTCTTTGATGAAGTTAAAGACTAAATAATTAGAGTTTCAATTTTTCTCAGTTATGATAGAAAGTAAATTATGAATAAAACTTTGGAGTCACTAGGATGGATGGTGGAGTGTTTTCTCTGAATTTGCTAAATGTAAATGGACTGACTATAAATTAATTGATAACTGTTTTTGTTGTATGTAGTTATACAATGTTAAAGTTAAAACCTTTCTTTTTATTTAGACAAAAAGGCGAAAATGTAGAATATTATTTTAAGGTGTGTTACTTTTATTTATGTTGCATTTGTTTAAGTCTGTGAAGCTGTGTTACTTTGCCTGTCTAAAGTACCTGCTGGTCTAATAAAGAGCTGAACAATCAATAGTGAGACAGGAGAGAAAAACAGGTGGGGCTGGCAGGCAGAGATGATAAAAAGGAGGAGAAATCTGGGGAGAGAGAAGAAAGAGCCAGAGAAAGAGGAAGACATCAGGGGCCAGCCACCCAGCTACACAGCTAGACAAAGAGTAAGAGTAAGATTTAAAGAAGAGAACAGGAAAAGTCCAGAGGCAAAAGGTTGACTGCATAATTTAAGGAAAGCTGGCAAAAAAAAACCAAGCTAAGGCTGAGCATGTGTAATTAAGAATAAGCCTCCCTCTCTCCATGCTCCTCTTCCTGTTTCCTCTCTCTGTTCCCACTCTGTTCCCTCCCCCAGGCCTGGCTCCCCGCCCCCTTCTTTTTCCTCCAATAAAGCTCTAAAAACTGAAGGGAAAAAAAAAAAATGTGTGATTTATTTGAGAGCTGGGTGCCCCCCAAAAGAGCAAAAACAAACCAACAACAGTCTGGTGTCCTGCTCTATCACTTATCACATTCCTTGAGACAGGGTCTTTCACTGGACCTGGAGCTATGCTGGGAGCCAGCAAGAAACCACCGGGAGCCTCTTTGTCTCTGTCCACCCTAACACTGGGGGTACAGGACATTCATTAAGCCATCTCCAGGTCTAACTGATGTAATTGGTCAGCTACTATTTCCTTAAGGCATTTTCACCTAGCTCTTGTGTACTCCTGTTATATGTAATGGTTATTTTCATCTACTTCAGTTAGTTCCTTTTTAACAGGGGTTTGCAATGCGTTCCTTTTCCACACTGATACATCTCTACTCAGAATTCATCTTCTGCACCTAACTCGACAGGCAAGGAATGTTCTTTCTGAAGGGTTCAACACCAACTTATTTTCTTCAATGGCTATAAAATGGAGCTATTTCTTAAGTAACCCTTTGCAGGTTTTTCCCTTTAGGAAGTTAAATTCCTTTAACTCTTGAATATTTTTAATGAGTTATCTGTGGCATTTCTATATTCTTTTAATGTCCACAAAACAGTACTAGCTTCTTTTCCACCCACCCCCTTTTTGTTCTAATCTGTATCTTTTCTACTTTTCATTTCCACAATCCGTCTAATAGTTTACCCATTTTATTGGTCATTTCAAAGGAACAGCCTTTGGTTTAATTGGTTTTCTGTATTTTTTTCCTCTTTATACCACTGATTTCTTCTCTTTAGTTTTATTATTTCTCTTCTACATAGGCTTAATTTTAAAAAGGCTAAATGGGCTGGAGAGGTGGCTCAGTGGTAGAAGAGAAGCAATTCCTACAGTTGTCCTCTGATCTCCACACATGTACAATGGGGAACCTTGAATGAGCGCGCGCGCGCGCACACACACACACACACACACACACACAGAGTGAGGGGGTGGCAGTGGAAACCACACCTTCCCCTACTACTTTCTCAGTATTTCCTTGCTTCATGGGACTTTCAGTTACTGTGTGTTGCTTGCACCAGCCATTTCTTCAAGGGTGCTTTGGTTCTTTTTATCAGACAAGAGGGTCAGAAAACAAGACTTAAGGCACTCAAATGTGTTCCTGTAGTTACTGTTTGTAGTTACTGTTGTTCTCAGCTGACAGGAGATGTTTGTATTTAACTCTTCATCATGGTCCTCTCTGTGAGATTCTCTCAAATGTTGGGGCCTATGATAAATGCTGAGGACTCTTCATTTGTTTTCATCTCTTGCATTTCTCCACACAATCTCCCATCCCTGAATCTTTCCATCTGTTCTGTTTGCATACTGCCTACTTTTCCATTGCTCTAACATGATAATGGCATTTACACTAAATTCCCTTTTTCTGACAGTGGTCCTTTAGTGTTGACTTTGACTCGATCTGGTTAACAGCGAGTGAAGCAAGGCTTAGGTTCTGTTGTTATGCTTGCCTTCAGTACTCCAATCTCTAGTTATTTTGCATGTATGGTTAGGGCTCGTGTGCCAAATTCTTCTCTACATATGATGTACCCATGGTTTATATAGTCCCTGTAAGCCTGCTCCTCCTGGGCCTTGGGAGAGTTTACACACACACACACACACACACACACACACACACACACACACACACACACACTTCACAAAAATATAATTGAACTACTGTGTCATCAACATGAGGAAACTCAGGGAGGATGCAGCTAAGATGCATAGGTGAGGAGCTGTAGTGTGCACTCACACCTTATTTTTTGAACTCTGTTAAAACAACCTGGAATCTATTCCAGTTTTCGGCATGTGAATTTTCATACCACTACCTTTCTTGGCGGTAACACAGCAGCAGGTTTCCCACCATGGATCTTCACTTGTACTTCTCGGGCCTTAGTAACAGGACAACACAAGGTAGGGCACAGTTCTTCTTCCTCTTCCCTCACACCCCATAAGCCTTTCATCTGAGATCCTGGCTTTACAGATATACTGCCTGGCAATCTGATGCTCTTCACAAGTAATGCTTTCTTCTTAGCCAGATACTTCTGAGATTTAACCCTTTTTCCCTGGGATTCAGAAATCTCACCAAGATCAAGTGAAGATCCACAATCTAACTGTACTTTCAAAGTTTGATCTTGCTCAATGGTACTGTGTTTTCTCCCTTACATCTGCTAAAAATGTCATATCTACTATTCCTCGGGTTTCATTCTTTCTCAAGTCAGAGTCATCCTATAAGCCACACAGTACCACTCAGTATGACATTAAAACATAGAGAAGGTAAAGGCCCTGAGGCATGAGCTGAAAGATAGCTGGACACAACTGAGGAACACCTACCATGCTGGTTACGTGACTTAAAATATGAATTTCTAGGGAAGAAGGAGAAAGGCAAATTACAGATTCTCCAAATTACAACAAATTTGAAAGTCTTACTACCAAACTGCCTTCCATTATTACTGAGATTAGGCAGGCCAGTGGCAGGGGCCAGGCATTTGGGGAGTAGAGCTGGTAAGGCTGCCTTCACTATTACCCTAGAGACCTACATTTCATCACTAAGAGGAGCAACAGAAGCCTTGGCTGGGGAAGACTTCACCCTTCTCTTCATGTCATCTGCTTCACTGGAAAGGTCCAGTAACAACAGGCGAAACAATGCAATCTCTGCATAGTCCTCCAACACTTAATCCGTGGCTTATTGAAACACATTCCACATTCATGATATGAAACACAAGTGTTTCCTTTAAAGCCTCATGCTGCCTGCTCATCCAACCTCTGAAGTGCAATACTCACAGTGAGCCCCAAAAAACAACAGAAGTTAGTCTGAGGAAGGGAATCCGGAGATGAAAGAGTCCCTCCCTCCATCAGCACCTGCCAATTGGGGCACCCTCCTCCATCTTCACAAGAACATAGCCAGACAGTTGTCTGGGCCACTGTCCATGTTTGGGGTTTACTCACCTGGCATCCATTTTGGTGGCACACTAACTACAGCAAAGACAAAGCTGTGTCAAAAACCTGTTTGATCAAACCATACTGTTCAACTAAATCTCTATAGGCTGCACTCAGTTAAATGACATCAGTGTCTCTACAGCAGTAAGATTCAACATCTCATCTTCAAAGGCATGCTATAGTAGCTCACCTGGCATTTAACTCTTAGTTTTTAAGACATCTAAAAGCAAAACAAGAAGGATGATTTAGTGAGATAAAAGGAAAGCTCACGTTGGCCGTCGAGTCTCAAGTAGAGTCAGTAAAATCTGGATTGCACTGACTATGGCTGATTCGTTCTTCTCCTTGTGAAAAATATTTGATAAAAGCTGCTCTATAATTTCTTGCCTGGGGAAAGAAATCAATAGTCAAGCACTGATTGCAATGTTATTTAACAGTAACAACTAAAAAGATGCAACACAATCCTTAGGAGCACTCATCCATACACAGGCATGTTTGCTTTCCACTTCAAATGTCACTACTACAGCAATTCTTCTTAGTTAGGAAGTTTATCCCCCTTTAAGAGGACAGGGGTCCCAGTTTGCCTTTACCAACCTTGCTGTTTTCCCTCAGGTATGGCTGCTGTGTGATTACCAACGATCCAAAACAGGTAAAACAGACTATTACCCACTGACTTTTACTCTACAGTTCTCAATGGTAAGACAGGAGAAGTAGCACTATAAAGGTGGAAATATCGTGTAGAGGAGTCACAGCACTAAAGGATAGACTACAGCAGTGGTTCTCAACCTTCCTAACACTGCAATACAGTCCTCATGGTGTGCTGACCCCAACTATAACATTATTTTAGTTGCTACTTTATAACTGTAATTTTGCTACCGTTATGAATTGTAATATAAATATTTGATATGCAACCCCTGTGAAAGAGTCATTAGACATGCCACCCGCCTCCCAAGGGCATTGCAACCCACAGGTTGAGAACCACTGGACTAGGGGTTTGGAGCTGTGCTTCTGGCAACTATGTTCTTCAATGGTGGCTTCCCAGCTGGAATAGCACTGATGCCTGTCTCTATCAAGTTCGGACAATGCAGGGTTCTCACCACAGGAAAGTCGCTGTTAGAACCACTGACATCTATTCAAAGGCAATGACAAACAGGCCCCAACCATCTCACGGCTCTATCAACTCGGAATTCTGTCACACTAGGAGTTCTGATGGACAAAACAATGTAATAACCAGCAAAAACTTAGGATTTACTAACACAGTAGTGGTGCCATATCCAGAGCCTTATCCAAACACCACTATCCATCACTCAGACACCAGCAGCAGGCACAGGATGGAACGTGCCACACAGGAGGAGGGGATGCCTTTCAGCCTCTAGATGAGGAAGGGCTTTCTCACAGTCATGCTCCCATTTTCAAACACAGGAGTGATATCAGCCAAGCATCAGTAAAACTCGCAATGTATGAAGCCTTCTAGATCATTCATCCACATCATTGGGACAAAGGCTTGTACTCTGAGTTTTGTTTTTCGTATGTGTGGCCACAGAAACTTACATCTATAAAATTGACTCAAATGAACAAAACTAAGTTCATTACGATCCAGAATTAAGCTGCATAGTCTAGCTCAATGAATTATTTTGAAGAATTTGAAATTTGGGGCTGGAGAGGTGGCTCAGGGGTTAAGAGCACTGGCTGTTCTTCCAGAGGTCCTGAGTTCAATTCCCAGCAACCACAAGATGGTTCACAACCATCTGCAATGAGATCTGGTGCCCTCTTCTGGTGTACAGGTATACTACACACGTGATAAATAAATCTTAAAAAAAAAAAAAAAAAAAAAATTGAGGGCTGGAGAGATGGCTCAGAGGTTAAGAGCACTGACTGCTCTTCCAGAGGTCCTGAGTTCAATTCCTAGCAACCACGTGGTGGCTCACAACCATCTGTAATGAGATCTGGTTCCTTCTTCTGTGTACATAATAAATTAAAAAAAAATTGAAATTTTCAATTTCAAAATTTGCTAGAGATACTAGCTAGAATATGCTTTTAATTCAGACTCAAACTTCCTCCTAAACTTCATGTCCACTAACACAGGCTTTCTTTCTTGGTAGTACTTCTCTCAAACACTCTTCAGTTTAGGCCCATTCAAACCCACCCCTGTACACCTTTTTCACTCGTGACATACATACACAGTGGTACCAAACCTTTGGGTAATTCAGTATTCTAATACAGGGAATTTTTGATGTCTCACTAAAAGACTGGCTCTCTGATATCACCATTACAGTAACTACACTATTTGATCGTTAACCATAGACTACATGGTGGTGTGAATGAAAATGGCCCCCCTAGGCTCACGGGGAATGGCACTATTTGAAAGGATTAAGAGGTGTGGCCTAGTTGGAATAAGTATTTAACTGGGGGTGGGTTTTGAGGTTTCAGAAGCCTAAGCCAGGTCCAGAGGCTCACTCTCTCTTCCTGCTGCCTACCTATTGGGATGCAGAACTCTCAGCTACCATGTCTGCCTGCATGCTGCCATGTTCCCTGCCATGAGGAGAGAATGAACTAAACCTCTGAAACTGTAAGCCAGCCCCAATGAAATGCTCTCTTTTATAAGAATTTCCATGGTCGTGGTGTCACTTCATAGCAATAGAACACTGGCTCAGACAATACATTTTTATATACTGTTATCAGATGTATTAACCAAATACGTGGAGTGAGCAACTATAGTTAATGGAGGTTTTCTAAACTCACAGCAGCCTTCTATTATTACTATAGTTTCTCAACCCACAAACAATAAAAGAACCAGCACCACAAAACTGTCAAATATAAGATATTCTGAAGGGGAGGGCAGCGCTCTCGCTCCCTCCCTCCCTCCCTCTCTCTCTGCTTCCTGACGGTATACAAAATAACCAACTGCCCCATACTTCATACATACATCATGCCGTGATGGACTTTACTTTCAAACTGTGAGCCAAATTACACTCTTCATTCCTTAAGAGAGAGAAGCAGGAGGGAGAAAGAGAAAGAAGGAGAAAGGACCCATCATAATGTACGTTAGGTTTTAGAAGGGCACTAACTCACCTGGTACATGTATCTGAAGAAATTCACTCTAACATGTACTGATATAAATCATGACTATATACTTCTCTTAATTTCAGAAGTTAGTGAGAACTAGAGTCACAGCTTGAAGGTTAGAAGCAAGCATACACACGGCCTCTGGTGGTCCTATGGAGCTCAGAGCTCACTCACTGCTGGCCAGTTCAGCAGGTAGACCTAGTCTATAGCACTGGCCACTCACTACATGTGGACACCAACCAACAGTCAGAAGAGAACTCACTGACTCTAACATGTTCTAATTATAAATGCCAGCTTCCAAGACTCCATATTTAAAACTCATTAAAATTATGTGTTGCTTTTTGCTGTGTTTCTATTGGACAGCAGCTTTGTAAACCATATGAAATTGCTGATACTCAAAAAAGGAAGTTTTTTTTGTTTTGTTTGTTTGAGACAGGGTCTCACTATGTAGCCCTGTGTCCTGGAGCTCAGAAACTGACCTGCCTACGCCTCCCAAGTGATGGGTAAGGGCATGTGCTGCCACACGCAGCCAAACACTCAGAATTTTTAACTGCCTCAAGCAGCAGTTTTGCACAGCTCACTTACAGAGCACTACAACTGGCAGGATCTGGATGTGGAAGAGGAATCCATACATAAAATGAGACATAACACCAAGAACTACGGGGTCTGTGCATGTGCCATTCTCTCCTTTGGCAACAACTCTGGGAATACAAGTCAGTTTTCTCTCAGACAGCTACAGAGCTATTTTGTCTCTGGTTTGGCCCTCCCGTGTCTTACAGACACTTTGGCAAAAGATGCAGAGGAGCCTCTTTGCATCACAGGACTACGAAGGGACACATAACACCATGAGAGACAAGCCAAGAGCAGTAGACCGAAGTAGACCACCACTGTGTCTAGTGCTACTGTGCACTCTTTCCAGACATACCTTCCACAGGAGTCTCCTTTTCCATAACACCACTTTAACAGTGTGGGCATAAGTCAAGGACATACCCATGCTAACAACCAATGTTCTCTCTGAAAATGTGAGAATCATGGAAATCAAAACAGCAGCCAGTCCCTGAGGGATCTTCCCCTCAACACGAGAGTAAACAAGGTGACTACTCAGGCAGCCTGAGTCAGCTACAAAGACACAGTGGCCTGAGGAAGATCTTCAGGAGAAACCAACAACTTAAATGGGTCAAATGCATACATACAGAAGACTCTATTTAAAATAAAAATAAAAATTAGAAAGAAAAAAAAAAAGAAACCCTCCAAGTCATGGTGTGATTGTTCCACGTCAGGATGGCTCTGTAAAACTCAGCTTTGCAGGCATGGAGAAGTTGCAAGTCCACATATACATGCCACTGGTTCCCCTTCTTGCTCTTTTGGTCTCTCCTGTGTCACCAATGGTATAAAGAAGAAAAGCAGGCTTTCCTGCTTTGCATAGGGTTTTTCTGACTCAATGTCCACAAATGAGCACTTCACTTACCAGTCACTCACAATGTAACACATCGAACTGCATCAATGAGGAAAGTAAGAACCAAACGGTAAACATACTTTTCTAGAGTGGCAAGCAGGGGATCTGGTTCTGTACTGTTCTGAACTTGTAACATCTGGTCTCTGCTCAGGCGAACAATTTCACAAAGTGATTGTGAGGCATTTGAATGTCGCTAAAGGAAAAAGGTACAATTTTAGCTATAGAACTTGTTAGAAGTTAACTTTATAGTAAAAGTGAAGGGTAACACAAGTTAAAACCATCTATGAGCTTCAATGAGCAGTGTAGTCGCAAAGAAAAGGACGAAGCATCTAACCACCAGGCTGATGAGCTTCCCTTCCACAACTGCACAGTGCAGATAGATCACCATGTGTACAGACGTGTGAGCAAGGCCTGACATGGACAAATGTCTTTGACCAAATACTTGGGGGGGAAAAAAGGTATCCCACACATATACCTTTATTAGCTCAGACAGATAAAACACATACTAGCTCAAATATTGAAAAAGAAAACAAAAAACTTAATACAATTTTGTGGAAGATAGAAGGTGGAGTGTCCATCTACCTTTCAAGAAGCTCTAGCCTCGGCATTCATGTCCTGTGGGAAACCGTAACATTTCAGAACACTACCTTCCTTAGAAATGATACATACTGGGAATCAGCACCCATACACTAGAATAGTAACCTAACACTTTTTAAAATGATTATTAACCCTCTCACCCCACCCCTGTATTTGTATTGTTTTTTGAGACAAGGTCTTAAGATGTAGCGTTGGCTGGCCTCCAACTTGTACAATTCTCCTGCTTCAACCTGTCATTTGCTGGGATTGTAGGCAGGAGTCACCAAGCTAGTCATGCTTTGTCCTCCTCAAAAACTGTGCTGTACGCTGGAGAGATTGCTCATCAGTTAAGAGGACCCAGGTTTGATTCCCAGCACCCACAAGGTGGTTCATAACCATTGATAACTCCAATTCTAGGGGACTGGACACCCTCTTCAGGCTTCTGTGGGCACTAGGTATGCCTGAAGTACACATACATATAAGCAGGTAAAACATTCACACACATAACATATAAAGAAATAAATCTAAAAACATTATTTTAAAAAAATTTAAATGATGGGTTAAGTATATTGGAGCAGAAATCCAGAGTGCAATAACCAAGAATAGTTTCCTACAAAACTAAACACATACTTAACAAATGAGCAGCAATGGGGCTGTCTTCCCAAAGAAATAATATGCAGGCAAAACACCCATACACAGAAAATTAAATTAAAAATGGAAGGAACTGAGTTTCTCCTTTACACTTTCTGTTGGACTCTGCAGACAAATGTAATGCCCTGTAATAAATAAAGTTCTGTTCAAGAACACAGTGAGGAACAAGCCTATTTACGTAAAGCATCCCCTACAAAGTGGCCAACTTTGCCTATGTCAACCTGTGTTGGCCATGACCCTAGAACATGGGACCTGAGCTCCTGAACTACTGAGCTCCTACCCAGAGAAGAAATAAGTACCGTTCTAGACAGTTCTTGCACCAGAGTTCTCCCTTAGCACCCAGCATACACAAGCTCTGGGATGTATGAAGAACATCAACTCTGGCAACAATAGCAGCTACTGCAAGGGAGCATGTACTCCACAATCCCAAGAGTGGATGGTAGAAAAATGAAGAATGTATCTTAGATCTGCTCTAGGCACAAAAAACTTTTTTAGATTCATCTTTACTTTATGTGTACCATGTATGTGCCTGGTGCTTATAGAAACCAGAAGGAGGAGGGGATCCCTGGGAACTGAGGTAGTTATGAGGTGTCAGGTGGTGCTGGGAACTGAAGCCAGGTCCTCTGCAAGAGCAACAAGTGCTCTTAACCACCATGCCATTGCTCCAGACTATAAACATTTTTTAAGTAGACTATTTAGAGAAGAGGTTACATCCACCTCCACAGAAAATCCACCCTTGGATAATATCCTCTGGCTAAAAATCCAGCTTCCTCTGCCCTGCTCATCCATGCTGCTTACTCCCCATTCTAACCAGCAATCTAGAAGAAGCATGTGAAGAGGACCTAAGGCCTCAAACACACTCTGGACCATCCTAAAATCCAACTCCTCCATGGACATGAGGTTAAACCATACAGAGCTGTCCTGCCTGCAGATAATGTTTGACTTTAGATAGTATCACACATCTTGGCATAAGTAATACTTGAAGAGTGGATGCTGCAGACCTCAGGGACACACACCCTGACCACTCAGGACAGGGTTCAATGTGAAACAGCCAACTCAAGCTTCAGAACCACTGCGGTATCTGTGTCTAATCTCCAGCACCAGGGGAGGAGAAGAGATGGGGGCAGGACACATGGTCACAATGTCTGTCTCTAGCCTCCACACTCAGGCTGAACCTGTTTGAGGCTTCAGGGTCAGGACCAGTCATCGTTAGGCTCAGTGGTGACCCAGACCATGTTGAGAGCTTGCAAAGCTTTAGCCAGATCTCTCAAGATGCAGATGTGGCCCCATCACCTAAGCTAAAGCAGGTATAAAAGAAAAATAAGTGTGGATGGAGATTTGTCAAAGCGGGTTTAGCATGACCCTAGCTCTTGGAAGGAGATAGTGCTCTCCTGCTCCTCACAATGCAGGATACACCATCCCCCTGATCCCTTTCATAGATACACATGTATGTTCTGTGGCCAATGAACAGTTTTATATGAAAAAATAAGTCATAGGAGAACTTACATCTTCTTCTTGCGATGGATGAACTATTTCCACAAGCCTCTGGATAATTCTCTCCTCATTTAGCCACTGCAAAACACATTGTAGAAGTGATCATAGCCACGAGTAGCTCCTGCTCAAGCCCCGGTGAAGATAAACACACTGGAAATAGCCATCACACTTTAAGGAGAAATTACATGTTTCTCTGGACTTTGAAACACTACAGAAAATTAAAAAGTCCCCCAAGGAAAATGCAGTGAATATATCATTTTTAAGAGTGACCACAAGCACCAACAACTCCCAAGTTCCAATAGCCACACACTTATCGACTCTACACTCAATGGTGGTATTGACTGGATACTCAGCATTTACAGGACTATACTTTGGCAACTAGGAGCCATACTATCATAGCTACATACTATCTCTAAGAGAGTGTTAGCTCTGAACATCAGATGAATGAAAATAATAGTACCAAGCCTCTGGGTTAAGAGATCTGTTGCGGGATATTTGTTAACACAAAAAAGATGTGTCTCTGCCTAAGGTGCTTTCTGATTGGTTTAATAAAGAGCTAAATGGCCAATAGCTAGGCAGGAGAGAATAGGCAGAATTCCTGGTAGAGAAACCGGGAGGAGGAATCTAGGCATGCCATTTTACCAGCAGACTCGGAGCAAGTCAGATGTGCCGTACCAAGAAGAGGTAACCAAGCCATGTGGCAGAACATAGATTAAAAAAAATATGAGTAATTAAGTTATAAGAGCTAGTTGGGAAAAAGCCTAAGCTAAGGCCAAGCTTTTCATAATAAATAAGTCTCTGGATCATTATTTGTAGGCTGGGGGTCCAAAGATAGTCTAACAAGAAAGCTTGCTACAGAGAACCCAGGATGAAATAGGGCTTTTAGATACCCAAACCAAACCCACTGCAGGAAATACTAGGGCCAGGTTAGGGCACCCTGGAAGAGGAATGCTGGTCATCTGCCTGTCTCAGGTAGACCTGCTAGAACCATAACAATCTCTTTGTAGCTTCTATACAAGATGCAGTGAACAAAGATACAGAAGGGATACAAAAAAAAAAAAAAAAAAAAAACAATAAAGGATAAACCAGCAGGTTTAATAATAGCTCCTAAAGGGAGCAAAACACAATGAAATGTACAAGGCGATTCAGCACTGAGAAAGGCCACCTGACTTCCAAAGGTTGAAGATGACAGAGAATAGGATTGAGGTCAAGAAACTATATACAATTTGCTAAAAGCACAGAGACAAAATCCTGGTGCTGAATCTGGCTCCTTACAGAGAACATACCAAACAAGCACTAATGGGAAGGTTAATGGTAGAAGCCCAATTGCTATGTCTTATTATATTTAATTTTTTTGCGTGTGTATGTGTGTGCCACAGCACACGAATGGAGGTCAGAGGACATTCTGTGGGAATGGGTTCTCTTCCTCCATCATGTGTGTTCTGAGTATAGAACTCAAACTGTCAAGTTTGGCAGTAGGTTCCTTTACCCACTGAGCCATCTTGTTAGCCCTTAAGATCTATTTTATAATAAGATTTAAAATATTTAAAATTTACATAAATCTAAGATCTAATTTTATAAATCTCCCAGAAATTAGTAGGCATGAGACAAAAAACTTCCCACAGTATCACCTGGGGCCACACTCTGATAGCAATACCCTAAAGTATATGCTCCTGACCATAGGAAAAGCTGGGACATTTGGTGTATGTATGTATGTTCAGTCTTGAGCATCTATCCTCTGCCTAAGTACCTGTATTCCAAGCCTACTTCTGGACCTTCAAGACTTTAAGGAATTTCCCCTACCCTGCTCTCTCCTTACTGACCACATGCTCTCCCCAAAAGCATACCTCTTTGGAAGTAGGCCCTAAAAAATTTCAGCTCAGAAGCAGCCAGAGGAATAGCTCTATTAGAGCCAACCACTCCTGATAAACCTCCCCTGTACTAACCCACACTAAAGTGACCATTACCACCCCCCCTCTTGTTTTAATAGTTTCTCCCAGAATTTTGAACCTCCCTTGAGAAAAGACGCAGATTCTACAGAAACACACAAAAGGAACAAGGTGCCTCCATTTGAAACCTTGCCTTCCAAGTAACAGAGAACCTGCTTGCAACACTTAGCTGGGTTACCTGGGTCACCCTGCCAGATCTAGCCCTGATCTACCAAATAAAGCAATCATGCCTAGACATCTTAGCAGTGTGTGCACTGCAGTGGACCCGTAGAACTTCCTTTCATAAACCCTTCAGTCTTTTGGTCCCTTATTCTTTAAAACTACAATTTTCCAAGACACTCATTTTCAATGAGGTACAGCTTTTATTTCTTTTGGCCCAGGCTGGCTAGAACTTAAAATCCTCCTGCTTCATACTATAGAGTGCTGGCATTACAGGCATGTGCAACCACACCCGACTGGGATCCAAAAGGAACAGTTCCAGAAGGCAAGGCAAAGTGGGGAGAGGAACATAGCCAATGGCCCAGGGAAAGCCTTATTTTCAGATTATTCAAATTTCCCTCAAGTCCAGTTTCACCTAAGACATCTATCTACTCAAGATGCACATATCCTAAAATTACCACCTTTCTAAGCTTGGAAGTGGACCCTTTCCATGTATCCCCATTCTCCTTGTTTGACCCTCCTGTAGAAGGCAGGTCTGCCACACTCTTGCCTTGTCCTGCTTACATCTAGACCCAGCTTGAGGATACATCCTCAACACGCTAACCATCCACATAACAAACCAACCAGTAAGGGGCAAATAACATTGTATCTGGTAGCCCTGGTCCTGTAAAATCTGAATCTCAGCTGAGTATGGTTGCACACACCTTTAATTCCAGCACTTGGGAAGCAGAGACAGGCTGATCTCTGTGAGTCTGAGACCAGTCTGGTCTACATAATGAGTTCCAGGACAGCCAGAGTTACATAGAAAGACTGGTCTCAAAACAATAAAATAAAAATCGCTATCTTTTCTGTGTTAGGACAATTCCCTCCCTGCCTCATCCCCAGGCCACCTCATCCTGTAGGATTTTCTCAGCCTACAGGAGCCCAGTGGTCCACATAAGAGCATTCCCAACCCCAGCAGCTCAGATCTCTACTCACATTCAGAACATCTTGCCTGGGCTGTGGAGGCTCAATACATGTCAAGAGCCTTAGCAACAAATCCATAATAGCAGAAGTTCCTATGTGCTTTATAATGAGGTCCACAAAATCACGCTTCTTTTTCAAGAAATCCACAATCTGGAGGAAAACAAATCAAACTGAAAGATGCAAAACATGAAGCATACAATCTAGAGTGACCAACATTCCCCAAATCCAGTTAGCTTAAGGACAGACAAGCACCAAGTTAACAAGTATATGTCAAATGGGGAACCTGGCTAACAATTACAATATTCAAAACCCTTAAATAAAGTTATCTCCCAAATCAGCATGCATCCCCACTACAAATAAAGCCAATAGAACCTTTGCCTTCCCTTCATTTTCATTGTTTATTCTCCAAGAAAGAGACATTTAGAAACTCCACAACCCTACAAACTGTGTGTGTGTGTATATACACATACATACATACATACATACATACATACATACACACACACACACACACACACATACACACACACACTATTTGGGGCTAGAGATGGCTCAGCAATTTAGAGCACTGGCTGCTCTTCCAGAGGACCTGGATTTCAATTCCCAGCACACACACATGGTGGCTCACAACCACCTTCGACTCCAGTTCCAAAGGATCCAACATCCTTTTCTGGCCTCTGTGGGCACCAGGCATACATATGGTACAAATACATGTAGACAAAACAACCATACACATAAAACTTTAAAAAAATACTACTTTATAATTTGCATACATAAAGCAATCCCATTAAACTTAAAATTAAAATGCAGAACATTAAAAAAAAAACAACTATCTAACAAGAGGGAGAGTCAAAGCAAAGATTTCTGTTTCCAAGTAGCTAACTTGCCTGGTCCACAGGTGATTTAGGTTACACTGCCACACGTGTGACTAGAAGGTTGAGAAGAAGGGGTTGTTCTGAAAGGGGATGAGTTAGGACTAGAAATGATGGTTCTGTCCTGCAGTTTCTTGTGTCTTCTTTTTGTCTGTGGGCCCACAGCATCCACTAAAACCCTACCACATGTCCTAGGAGAGCTTCACAGGGTAGCAGTTTCTGTCACAAAATGTCACTAAGTCCTGGAAAGTGGAAATTCATCATTCTAGATGAGAAAGCCTAGGCTCAGACATGCTAAGTATCTCCTAGAACTAAAAGGTGGTTGCCCTGGAACTTAAACTCAGATCTACATGTTCCAAGAGTCACAGGCCTTCCACTAATCTGCATAAAGAAGCTTAACAGCCCCAACAGGTAGGACTACTACCACAAGTAATTTAAACTGAGTCACTGCACTGTTTGTCTAGACAACGATGCCAATACTCATCTCTTCAAAGAGTGGCAACCAGGCCACTCACAGCTGAGTCCTATAAAAGTCTTTGAAAGGAAAGGTGAGAGGAAGAAAAGTTACACATGGTCAAACTACACAATTCCATGCACGGCAGAAACACTGGTCCTGGAGCCTACATGTATACACCTTAGCTGGTGCTGTGAACAGTACACCAAGGATCACATGGCCTGTACTTTAGACATCCTTGTTGAAAGCTAAACCATTCAACACTGCCAACAGTTGGAAACTCTGCTCTAAAAGCTTTAAATAGTCTCTGGTTAAGCCACATGAATCTGGACTTTTGTTATCCCTGCCGTGCCTAAGTCCTAACCAACATTATCAAGCAACAGGAAACACAATGCTCAAGTGTGGCCTTTCTGGCAGTTACACAAACAAGCAATGCTGCTGTAGCCTCATTATCATTCAAGGAATCCTAGCTGGAGAAACAAGGAGCAACCAGGTGATGGAACTCTCGGGTTCAACTGGCACACACCATCATTGCCAGACAAATAACAGAACTGAGCCCCAGTGTCAATATGCAGAGCTTCAGAAAGCCTTCCACGTATTTTAATGCTTTATCTTATAAACACCAAAAAGCATAGCTCATCAGCCTGGGTCCCAATAGCAGATATAAGAAGAAAAGCATGTCTTAATAATAGAAGTAACCACTCTGAACTAACTGTGCCAGGGTGATGTGATGGCTTGCAATCTACAATTGCCAGTGATACTTTGATTTCTATGTGGAAAAAGCAGAATGGGAGACAATCTGTACTACTCAGACCATGACTTGGAGATTGTGACCCAAGGCAAAGGATCTTCCTCCAATACACTTGGGAAAGCTGCCCTATTCAAATAAGAATTTATTTGAACAAAAAGAACACCACCCTTCTAAAATAAAACACAGACCCAGCCTTAGCAGATGACAGAACACAGTGGGCCCCAAACAGTTTCAGTCCTTTCACGTATGCTGATAGCAAGAACAAGTAACTGGAGACTATTGTCTACCACGAAGAACGCCAAGTCGGACTGGCTCGACCACTTTCACCTCTGTTGCTGTGACTGATAACCTGTCAGCTTGCACTCAGCATCTGCTGCTCTAGCTGATTCTTGCAAGTGAGCTCTTGGGCCTTCTTAACAACTTCCACTACGTTAATGATTCTCCAATTCCAGTAAACATCAGTGTGAACTGGAAGATGTGCCAAAAGCCTTCACTGTCAGATTCCATCTAATTCTACAGGATAGGGACAGGAATCAAGAACATGCACTGCATCATCATCATCATCATCATCATCATCCTCAGGTGATGCTGTCATCACTGGCCCAAAGGCCACACCTGGTGAACCACTCCTTGGAAAATAACATTTCCACACATACATCTGAAACGGGAGGAAAAAACCAGAAGGATCAAGGGGAGGAGGTATCTGTATGAAAGTGAAGTCTGCACCTTTACCCAGTGCTACAGGCTAGGCATCCAGATATCTAAGTAAAATTAATGACCACTGTGTGCAAAGCACTGGTCAGACTCATTTTCAGGGAACAAAGCAAAGCAACTATCAAACCCAGAGGGTCATGAGCTATGTACTCAGATTCAACTTGCTGCCCTCACAAAAATGCTTCTGATTACTTGTCCGGAGAAGAAATCAAAGTATGCTAACAGCTGAGGCCCTTCAAAGGATAGTCAGAGGAAAAATACTCCTTAATGTACAAAAACCAGAGTTGCTTAAACTGCTGAAGACCTAAAAGACATTCTCTTGTTGAAACTGGACCTTAGGCAAACGCAGAAACTTCAGCACAGTCCCTCAGCTCAGGGATGTATAGCCCAGACACTTACCTGTTCTGGCTTTCTGCTGATAAGAATACTTAGCACCTTGCTGAAGAAACTGGCGAGTAGTGGGTTCAGGGGGGACTCATTTAGGAGGAAGCTATACAATTTCAATAGCAAGGACTCATCTTCCCCCAGTCTATCATTCATCTGGGAGACATCAGAAGTGAGCAACTCACAAGATATATTTGGATACCTAGAAGAATAGGACATTGCATTATCATCTAATGGCAACAGTTCATCACATCAAACACAACACATATCAGGAAAGTCTCCTAAAATTCTGTCAAAATATCAAAATCATCTACTAGGAATTAAAAGCACCTTCAAACTATCCAACCTCTTAAGTTAATATGAATTGGCTTTAAACCAAGTTTTAGTAAGATAAATTTCTGTTGCATCACTACAGTACATGCATAGGACTCAAGAGCCAAGACTGTCACACTGTAACAATTTCTCAATGAGGGTAAAGTGTCCTGACAGTCATCACAGCCCATGTGCACAGAGAAATGGCAAACTCTGAGAGAGACAAATTAGGAGCTGCTGGTTTCCAGGAAACTGTACCATACACACAGCGATGACTGCAGGTACCTGAACAGGTCACGACTCGGCTCAGGTGGGTTACAAGTGGCTATCAAATGTTTGGTCTCCATCCCATCTAAGGAAAACACCTATCATGGTATACTGAATGAACAGGACAGCAGCCCAAGGTACTAGGAGATGAGGGAAGAGCATTACACAAACCTATGCTTTCCACAATAGGCTTCCAAGACCTTGTGAGGCTAGGAACAAGAAAGAAACCAGCTCGCTGTCATTCCTTACTATGATCTCACTCGGTAGGCCACAGGCCTACAGGAAGCAGCTGGCATCTGCTCTGCATCTATCTCCTCATGGCTTTAGAAAAATCTGCAACCTCAACCGTGTTTATCTCTGACAGCCAGACCACTCACTCTGAAAACCAGACAGAAGACCTATGTTCTCCATGCTCTGACCTGCCAGCTACTTCTCCTCCTTGTCCAATGGTAACGGGAGACTAACAAGAGACTCATCAGACAGCACTGCATCTGACCACAGTTCTCTTCTCTGCTCTAACATTCTGCATCAAGAGCCCCAGCTAGACCCAGGAACGGCAAGCTCAAAGGCTGACCAAGTCTAGGAGGAAACAAAACAACCACAGTGACTCTATTATAGAAGACAGAGGGAACGACTGTGGGCTGCAGTGTGTGACACATGTGGAGGGACCCAAGGCAAGCAAATGACCACTGCACCTGAAAGGGTCTGGGATGAAAGTGGATAAACAGCATGAGCCCCCCAAAGACCCAAGACAGGAGGAAGACAGAAAAGCAAGGAGAACTGCAGGGGTGTAGGCGTGAAGATATATATACTACCCAACAGCTGTCCTCTGGCAGGTTCTGCTCTATTAGTCTCCCTACCCTGTAACACAGGCATTCATCAATGCTACAGCAGACTTCTCTACTGTAACCACCACCTAGTGACAGAAGCACACAGTGGCTATATCAGCACCCGTGGGATTCATACTAGGATCACTCCCTACCTCACCCACTTTCCAAGGTGCACTGTGCCTTTCCCTCAGCTTGCAGACTTGGAAACACAACAATGAGGGGCTGGCACTGAAAAGGTGGTTAATGAGTGACAGCAACTTGCATTACTCTCTATTTTCTAGAGCAGTGGTTCTCAACCTTCCTAATGCTGTGACCCTTTAATACAGTTCCTCAAGTTGTGGTGACCCCCAACCATAACATTATTTCCATTGCTATTTCAAAACTGTAATTTTGCTACTGTTATGAATTGTAACATAAATATCTGTGTTTTCCAATGGTCTTAAACCCCTGTGAAAGCATTGTTCAACCTCCAAAGGGGTCCTGATCTACAGGTTGAGAACCACTGCTCTAGGATAAACTGCAGAAACTTCGCTAATTCCTCCCACCTGCTATAATACAGCATTACTAGACAACCCACTCCTTTGGCTGACATAGCTTCCTCTTTACTGCACCATTCCTGAAAGTGTACACAGAGACCACTGTTTCTTCTATTTAGGAAAACAAAACATCTACACCTCTCTTGACTCCACATCTGCCTTCAGGTATCATGTGGTCTCTCGTTGCTAAAAAGCAACTTCAAGGAGATGTCTTGGCTTGTCTTCCAATCTCCTTCAGAGCCATTTCAGCCAGGCTCTCAGGATCTGAATCAATGGGGATGATATTTCCACATTGCCAACTTGGGAGTTCTCATAGCAGCAGCCTCTGACATGGTCCCTCTTTCCTCCTTGAAGTCTGTCTTCAGCAGCTTTGGGTGGGCAGCCTCCACCTGTTTTCTTCTTGCCCGGGGTACTCCTCAGTCCCTGTGTGGAATCCTAACCCAGTTACTAGCCTCCTCCATCAGTTTCTGAGTCCGCCTCCCATCAGCTCCATAGGTGACTTCAGCCAGCTTCATGCCATCATATGGCACCCATCCACCTGCTGAGATTCCCTGTCTCTACTCCATACCAACCAGGCATCTCAAACTTTTTTTTTTTGGTTTTTCGAGACAGGGTTTCTCTGTGTAGATTTGTGCCTTTCCTGGAACTCACTTGGTAGCCCAGGCTGGCCTC